AGGGCAGAGGATAAGAAGGCGGAGAACGTCTGCCGCAAGACCCTCTTGCGGCAGCCTGGGCCATTAGGGCATCTTCTTCCGCTTCAGGCCTTAGCAGGGCCAAAGTGATTTTGGCTGCGTAAACTCACGTACAAAATTCCTGCTGGAGACGTACGTCTTCACCAGGACATGACCAAGCTTGTTGTGTCTTTGCAGTAGGCGGCGGATGCCGCCCTCAACTCCACTAAACTCGTCTCCAGGGCTCTGGCTGCGAACGTTGCACCCCACCGTTGGCTTTGGCTCTGACATTGGCAAATGGGAATTGGTTTCTGCTCCCTTTAAGGGATCAGATTATTTTGGGAGGTTTTTGAACCCTTACCTCATTGAGTCAAAGGACAAGAGGTAGGTCTTACCATCAGCCTCTGAAAAGCAAGACCGTAAGTCCGTCCCATACCCAGGGAGGCAGTCCTTCGGCCCTCCGAGCCTTACACCTCCTCTTCCTTCAACCCCCCTAACCGGCCCTCCAGGCAATCGGGGAATAGAGCTTAGGACAGGTCTTCCTTTTGAGCCAGAGGCAGACAACAATTTGGATTTCGTACTTTCAAGCGCGGGGGTGCCTCCAACAGGCCCTTCTACAAATCTAGGAGGCTCCCCAAGCCTGTTACCCATTGGGGGGCCGAATTTGACTGTTCGCCTCCCATTGGGGCCAGACAGCTCAGGACGCCTGGGTCCTGCAGTTTGTCCAGGAGGATCCTTCCCTCGGATTCCTATCCCCTCCCCCCTGGAACCTTACCAGGTTTCGTGTCCCATCATGAGGGAGCATATGAACCAAGAGAGCCTACCTCTCCTGGAGATCAATGCAATAGAGCAGGTGCCCCCCGACGAGGAAGGGAGCGGGTATTCTCAGTTTCTTACCTGGTCCTGAAGAACTCGGGGGGGGGGGTTGGAGGGCCATCTTAGACCTCAAGAACCTTATCAGGCTTATCGCCTACCAGAGGTTCAAGATGCAGTTCCTCCAGTCGATCTCTCTCGACCTGAGGGAGGTCTACCTCCATATTTCCATTCATCCCCGGCAGGGAGTTCCTGTGCTCCTTTTATGCTGGCTGCCACTTTCAATACAGGGCCGTTCCATTCGGTCTCCTGTCAGCGCTCAGGACCTTCTCGAAGGTCCTGGCAATAGTGGTGGCCCATCTCAGGTGCAGGCCCATAAAGCGGCAGGCCTTGTGGGATCTTCAGGTCACTATGAGGACACTCAGAATCCGCAGATTTTCTCTGAACTTAGAGAAAAGCCACCTTTCTCCCACCTCCAGAATCAACCTTCTGGGGGCGGGGATAGACACTATGTCCTGCAGGATTTCTCTCCCAGGACAAGTTAGTGGCCCTCGGTCTATGACCCACAGATGATGCAGGCGAGGCAGGTTCCGATTGTCCCCCTCTCCCAGCTGTTGGGGCAGATGATCTCCTACCTGTCGATCGTTCCTTGGGCTCGCCTCCACTCCAGGGCACTGCAGTGCCTTCTTCTGCCTCACCTGCCCTCCTCAAAGGACATCTATTCATGGAGCCCAACCGGTTGGTCGTTACCACAGACGCCAGTCTCGCTGGCTGGGGAGCGCTCATGGGACGTCTCGTGGTCAGGGCAAGTGGTCCCCAGCGGAGTTGATTTTCAGCCTCAACTTCCTGGAGCTGCGAGCAGCGAGGTTGGCACTTCATCCCTTCCACCAGTCCATCCGCCACCGCCACGTTCCCTTGATGACGGACAATGTGGCCACGAAAGCACACATCAACCTCCAGGGCGGCACCAGATCAAAAGACTGATGGTGGAAGCGGAGGCCCTGGGTCACTGGGCGGAACAACATCTGGAGTCCCTCCGCTCAGGTGTGAACAACACTCAAGTGGACTGGCTGAGCTGGACCACTATATACTCCGCAGAATAGCGGCTGGATCCTGCTCTGTTCAGTCAACTGTCTCGCAAATTCGGTATGCCATCGGTCGACCTATTACCACCAAGAACAACGCACAACTACACCACTTCGTCACCCGCTTCCATTCTCTGGGGCGGAGGGAACAGATGCCCTTTGTTCCGGCTGATAACGGGGTCTCCTGTACGCGCTTCCTCCTCTCCCTCTTATTCCGGAGTCCTCCACAAGATCATAGAGGAGGGGGCGCAAGTGCTCCTCGTAGCACCTCATTGACCCCGGAGGTCATGGTTCACCGACTTTGTCAGCCTGTCGGTGTCCCCACCGTGGCGGATCCCCCCTGATCAGGTCTCCTTCAGCCAAGGGGTCATCGTCCACACGGTACCCCAGTGACTCCAGTTGGCTGTCTGGTTCTTGGGGGGACCTGCTGAAGGCCGAGGGGTTATCGGACAAGGTTGTGTGTACCATCCCAGCTGCTCGATGTCCCTCGACAACGGGGATATACGGCTCTACTTGGGCCGCATTCGCTGGGCGGTGTGGGGACCTATGGCTCGACCCGGTCATGGTTCCAGTGTCCCGAGTGCTGAACTTCTTGCAGGGGAGCCTTGAGAAGGGTCCCTCCCCCGCCACACTCCGCCGCCAGGTGTGGCTTTGTCAACCGTTTGGTCTGGGGACCCCTTCCTACCCCTCAGCAGGGTTACCAGAGTGTGCTACTTCCCCTACGGAGCTTCCTCCCACGGTTCATCGCTACCCTACCTGGCAGCTGTCCATGGTCCTGCAAGTACTCTCCGTGCCACCCTTCTAGCCTCTCCTAAAGGCGTCTCTACGACATCTTTCACTGAGGTCGGCTTTTCTTAATGCTATTACGTCTGCCCGTTGAGTTGACGGCCCTGTCGGTGCGGCAGGACTTGTGTATCGTTCATGCCGATGGAGTCGTTTCGTGACTTGACCGACCTTCATTACGAGGGTCAACACCTGGTATCATAAGGCACAGGAAATTATCCTGCTGGACCTTGGCCCTCATCCTTCCCATTCTAGTGAGCACAAGTGGCACAAACTGGACGTACCACGGACCTTGGAGATTTGTATTCCGTACTTCGGAATTCCGAAAGTCCGAGGCCCTACTCATCTCATTCCAGCCCGGGTCCTTGGGCACGAAGTCTCATCTTCTACCTTTTGCTGTTGGCTCAGGGCATACATCACGTCTGCATGTGAACTCCATTCGAGGGCGGTGCCTCGCTAAATAACTGCCCATTCAACGTGCAGGTCTGCTACCTCTGCGGCTTGGGCCCCTCAGGAGATCGAGGAGATCTGCAGGGCAGCCACGTGGTCTTCACCGTCTCCGTTTGCCAAACATTACAGACTGAACACATTTGCCTCGGCGACGGCGGCCTTGGCAGGTGGGTTCTACAGGCTGTGGTTTCTTTGGTTGAATCGCGGGGCCTTTCTTCTGCCCACCCAGATCGACAATAACTTGGGTATGTCCCATTGCTTGGACTCTCCAAGCAGTGCACAGGAGAAAGACTATTGGACTTACCTGAAGGGTCCTTCTCTGTGCACCGTGGGAGAGTCCAACCCACCCTGGTCTGTCTGGGGATTTAAAGCCGTCGTGTCAACAGTATGGATCTCCTTGGTCGTTTTTTTGCTGCATCCTCATGGCCAGACCATCTCAAATTTCTGGAGAGGGATCACGCCAGGAGGTGTGGTCAGGGAAAAGTTTCCTCAGTTTCCAGGGCAACCAGACTGAAATAACTCATTGCTTGGACTCTCCCGCGGTGCACAGAGAAGGACCCTTCAGGTAAGTCCAATGGTCTTTCTGTATCCTGTTGTCTTCGGGGCTATCGTCCTGCAACCTCCAGGCACCAAATAGGTGTGCATTTGTAGAATCTGCCTGTTTCACAGGCACCTAAAGTGATGGAGTTACAAAACTATTCAGAAGCATTTCAGTTCAGCTCTCTTAACTGAAATCTTCCCGTTTTAATAACTTACTTGATTTGGGGAAGAGAATGCCAGAAGTCACCTCTTTCTTAAATACCATCACTGCATAAAGTTCACTTCCCTCTAGTTTCCTTATGAGTGAGAATGCTGTAGTCACCTGGCTGATGACCAGAAAAACTGGATGTTCTATTCTTATCTTGGTATTGTTGGTATTAAAAAATAAAAATTCAGACTGTAATAACAGTGGTGATGAAGGTTGTTTCTTGCCAACTTTAGAAATTGGAAATTAAGCGTTACTCTGTCCCTATCATTACTTTCCATCGTATCACATCACTAAAGCTAGTAGCAGAAAGAGGACTCCTCATGTCACGAGCTCTGCAATTTGATTGTAATACAGGTAGACCTCAATTTATGACCACAATTGAGCCCCACATTTCCATTGCTAAGCAAGACAGCTGTTAAGTGAGTTGTGTCCCATTGTATGACCTTTCTTTCCCACAGATTTTAAATGAATTGTTGCAGGTGTTGTTAGTAATACAGTTGTTAAGTGCATCTGGCTTTCCATTGACTTTGCTTGTTAGAAGGTCGCAAAAGGTGATCACATGACTCTGGGACACCGTAACTGTCATAATAAATTCATGCCACTTGCCCAGTCTTCAGATTTTGATCACATGGCCATGAGGATGCTGTAATGCTTGTGTGAAAAAAAAATCTTTTTTCAGTGCTGTTGTAATTTTGAACAGTCACTAAATGAATGGCTGTAAGTTGAAGAGTACCTGTATATGAAAGTAATGGAGGTAGACGTAGCAGTGATATAAAATGGAGGCAAAGGAAGGGTGCAGGGCTATATGAATATGAGTCACTTAAAGAATTAACCAACAAGGTTATCCTAAGTAAGCATTTTTTTTCCAAAATAACATTTGTACTAAAAAATATTGTGTTTCTCTGTGTTCATGGGTTGTTGTTGTTGGTTTTTTTTTTTTTTTTGCGCCTCCTGCTTTCATTTTTGAAGTGTTTTTAATTTGACATAAAAGGTGCATGGAATGTTTTATTTAGGCAATATTAACCAGGTAAGAGTTGTGTGGATAATTAATGTGCATGGTTTTAAATTAAAACTCAATAAAGAAAAACAATTACATCGGCTGTTTTTGTTTTTGTTTAATGAAGGTCTGGATGATTGTCTTCAGCAGTATGTCCAAAAGTTTGAAAGAGAGAAGATAAATGGTGCTCAGCTGTTACAGATTTCCCACCAGGATCTTGAAGAACTGGGGGTCTCCCGGATTGGACACCAAGAGCTTGTTTTAGAGGCCGTGGATCTCCTCTGTGCACTGGTCAGTTGGTAAAATTAATGTTGAGATGCATTGTTGACCTTGTCATCCTGTCTCATTTTTCTCAGCTTGAATAATATTTGTCAAAAGAGAGATACTAATTGCGTTGAGAAAGGTTGAGCAACTTTGCCAAATCCTTTCTCAATGCAATCAGTATCTGTCTTTTACACGTAAATCAGTATTATGGTTGCAAGTGGATGAACTGGACGGAGAAGTTGTTATACATGAGTTGTCCAGTCATTCTGATTTTAACTCATACATATTGCCTCCTGAATGCTTCCCATTCAAATCAAAGATGATGACCGTGGAAAATCTTGAGTTTTTCTAGGGAGTGGATAGCAAGGGTGGCTAACAGATGGGCCACTAAATATTACCTCTCCAGCATTTTTCAGCTGGCCTATTGGTGAGGAATGATAGGGATTGTGATTTGGTCATACCTTGTTTGTCATACCTTGTTCATCTGTTATAAAGGGGCTATCTTGTTGAAGGCATGTGGGAGGTTGCATTCAGTGGTGGGATTCAGCCAGTTTGCACCAGTTCAAGCGAAGCGGTTGTTAAATATCCCCCCCCCCCAATCAAAGTGGATCCTGGGCACTGTGCTGCGCTGGAGAAATGGAGCAGCTGGTGCAATGGAAAGAGAAAGACGCTTTCCCTCTCTTCTCCCTACTGCTCCTCCTTCCCTTGTGCCAGCTGCTCCGTTGCCTTTTTCTCCATTACAGCATGGCACCGAGGATCCACTTTGATAGCGGGGTGATGATTGTAATTTAACAACCGGTTCATCCAGGGTCAGGTTGACCATTGTGGGAGGCTTGTCCCATATGTGGGGATGGGTAGACCACACCTTCCACAACAGCCAACCTGACCCTGGGTGAACTGGTTGTTAAATTACCACCACCATTACCCACTATCCCACCACTGGTTACATTCCATGTTCTAAGTAATGCGTAAGTGAGAGGGCCCAGCAGGTTTTCTGGGAGGTGTTTATATAGGGAATTATGTATTTTGAGGATTGGGAAGAATCATTTTCTTTTCCTGGAAAAGGTTTGGAGCTTTTCAACTCATATGATAGAGCAAGTTCATCGAAAAGGGAAATCTTTCACAGATGACTTTCTCCCCTCTTCCTCATGCAAAAATATATATTATATAGGGTTGTCTTTAAATATTTAAAATAAGATGCTTTCCTCCACGCCCCTATCCCCCCTTTCATTAATGGCTATTGCGCTTGTGAGTAGTCTATTTCACAGTAGGAATACATTTGTATGAAGTGTTTGTTCAATCCTGTGAGCCAGTGCCAAAAGCATATACTGTTTCACCAGTGAGAATGGTGGGAAAGAATTTTTCATCACACTTTTGCCCTTAACCAGCTGCATTCCATTTATTATGTAACACTTCTTGCATTTAAGTGTATTCTTCTTAAAATGGGCAGAGCTTTGGATTCCCTTTGCAAATTGCATTTAGAGGTCTAGGACCAAAATCATTTGCACTTGATCAACTGGAAGCTTTGAGATGCTTTTTGTTCTGTAACATATGCATTAGACTTGGAACTATTGACTTAAATCAATCCTATTCCTTGCAATTATACAATTGCAGATAATTGGGGTTAAAGGACACTAAGGAAACATATTTAACCTGGCAATTTTCAATAAATACAACTATTCATGTTGGAGTAAGGGAGTTTAGGGTCATACCTATTAAATATTCTGAGGGGGTAATGACTGAGGTGAGGCAGAAGTTAAACCAACCGTTTATTTGCAACTAACAACAACTTCAGAACCAAGGCAAAAATGACAGTTCCCCGCTTGACAGCTATTTATAAGCCTGCTGTCAAGTGGGGCAGCCAATCAGCAACTGCCTAACGTCCTGTGCTGGCCAGCGCTACTCCCACTTGGTTGGAGCGTGCGTGGCCACGTCCTCAGGGCACGGACATAACAATACCAGTAAACATGCCTGTCATACTCAAATTATTGAATGCAATCTTGCTTTGAATAATATTTATGGCATCCATCTAGGGACATTCTTCTGTTCTAGTTCTGTTCTGTTCTAGAGATATAGAGTGAAAAGAGATCAACATTTGTCAAAGTAGTGTCCCTTCTTCAGTTTGGCTCTTCAACTTAATCTATCTTGCTTAATGCACTAGGCAGAATTAGTCGAAATGCCATTCCATCTCCTGTGGAAAGCAGAATTCATGAGATATATGCATAGATATGCATATAGATCAGAGTTGGGTTTCTGCCGGTTTGGCCCGGATCGGGCAAACCAGTAGTGGTGGTGGTAGGAGGCTCTGTCCGGATGCTTCTGCGCATAAACATAGTACGCGAGCTCACACATGAGCAAACCAGTAGTAAAAAAATGAAAACCCACCACTGATACACACACACACACACACACACACACACACGATTTGCTTAACTTTTGTTTATTGAACAAACCATAATGCCCCAAAGCATAAACCATTGTTTTTGTATTACAGAGGCTGAGTTGAGCCCTCAATCTAAGCCACAAACAAAGAAGCCATGATATAACCTGGTGTGGTATAACTTAGTCATTTTGTATTACTTCAGAGGCAGACAGCTATTTTGAGATGGAAATTTTTTAGCTCTCCTGGGTGCCCTCATAAAAGAACTGCTATTGGGGTTGAGGGTTTGCTCATTTTCAGAAAATAACTGGTCTAGTTGGCATGGGCAGTCACAAAATGCTGGTTTACCAGAAGTCAAATGGATGAGGTTGTTTTCGCTCTCCTCTTTTGTTCCATTCTAGCTTGTTCCTCCTCTTCCTCCTTCTTTTTCCAAAGTTGGTAGGGTGTAATCACATTCCATTTTTGTTTTCTAGAAATTTATGGTGAACAACATTTAAATTTACAAAAAGTCATAGTAGAGAGTCCGATGAGCACATAAACAAATGTCCGTGAGCCAATTCCTGTTCACTCAAGAGTCCTTGTCCTGTTGTAATGCTCCTCTTAGAAATACTAGAAGGTGACAAGACACCCAATACTCCTATAAACTATAGTCTGAACTGAGTTTGCTTTTTGGAATGAATGTGTAGCTAAACACATTTTGTCCAAGATTGGTGGACGAGAAGCTGCCATTAATCTTGAAATACTAACTCAAAGTTTGTCAACCCTTGCATCTTCAAGATATGTGGACTTAAACTTCTAGAATTCCCCCAGCCAGCTTGCGGGAAGTCCACATACCTGTAAAGTTTCAGAAATTGAGAAACACTATGTTAAATCTATGGTTACTATTAGGTCAGACCCACTCTGTGATTCATATTCCCTGCGTCAGCATGAAAGACCAGCTTCCAAAAATATTCTAGACAGTTAGAAATGTTCTTATCTCCTGCTCAGAAAACACTAGAGTTGGTGCCACGCAATTCATTGGAGAATTGTTCTGTGAATGGTAGATCAGTTATTAAGCATTATTAAGCATTATTAAATGTTGTTCATGAACAAGATGTCCTATTCATATGTTTTGAAGGTGGTTCAATAATTGATATCATTTAGATTAAATTTATCTAATATGCATAAAGAAATTTTGCATTTCCCTCCCTATGAATGGTCATTGAAGCTGGAGAAATGGAATTTTTAAGAAAAATAAAGTGTTCTTGGATTTAGTTAGTTATGAAATGGTCAAGAGCTTGTGTTGATGTCTTGCCATTCATTGTACTATCACCTCTCCAGCAGAACGAAGGTTATCTGCCTCCCTGGCTTGGAAGTTACTAAGGTGTAGTTCTTCCCATTGGATTTTTTCAGTGGTGGGGTTACTATCCTCTTTAAAAAGGCATCTTCTCTCTTTGGAGAAATTCAAAGAAATTATCTGTTCAGTATCCCCGCCCAAAAATTGTGTAGGCCACTCTTGCCTGCCCAGCTCCAACTCTATTCTACTCTATTCCATTTGCTAGACAATTTAAAAAGTGAGTATATATTAAGATAGATAGTGCTTAAGGCACTTAGACTACAAACCATGAGACTGTGTTTTCTGCTCTTGCCTTAGACACAAAGCCAGTTGGGTGACCTTGGCCCAATCCTTTTTTCTTAAGATTGGGCCAAGATCACCCAGCTGGCTTTGTGTCTAAGGCAAGATACAAGGCAATGACAAAACACTTCCAACATCTTGCCAAGAAAATTTAAGAGACTGTCTAGGCATTTGTTAAAGAATCAACTTGAAGGTAATTGATGTGTGGGTGGATAGGTGGATAGATAGACAGACAAAATTCAGGGCCACATAACTCTCCCTGAGGCCTTCTAAAAGCCTCTGTGAGAAATTTAAGAGGATTGGGGTGTTAGCTGGTTAATCCCTACTTACCCATGGATGGCCTTAAGGGAAAATTAGTTTCATTCCCTTGGGAGGAGAGAGTGGAAATAATAGCAATACAGTGATGGCTGGTTGACTGTTGTAAGGCTCTCTATAATGCAAACTGCTGAGTTCAGCCTGCAGATTTGAAATGTTGTATAAGTGCTAAATAATAGTAGTAGTAGTAGTAGTAGTAGTAGTAGTAGTAGTAATAATAATAATAATAATAATAATAATAATAATAATAATAAT